TAAACAAAGATATCTTCAAAAAAATGCTTCTCCTCCCCACTGCTCATACCTCATCCCATGTCACCGTTCCTTCTCTGTCCCCACTCACCTCTGCAGATAGCCAATCTCACTGGCTCCTCCTTTATTCTTCCTGTATTTCTTTCATACAAACATGCAGCCATGTGCCTATTTTCTTATATTTCCTGCTTTCTACCAGTGAGGGCAGCTTACTATATATGCTCTGTTTTACGTTGCTTTTTCACTCAACAGTGTACCTTGGAGATCACACCAAGTTCTTCATAGACATCTGCCTTATTCTCTCTTGCTGTTGCCTAGTCCTCCTGTAAGTCTGTGTTACTGTTTGTTTAATCGCTCATCTACATTTGGTCATTTAGGTTGTAGCCAGTGCTTTCCAATTATATGAACAATGCTACCACAAAGTCGTATGCATATGTATTTTCCTAGTGCTGGGGTGGATACTCAGGAATGCTTCCTCCAGGTGGGATCGCTGAGTCACAAGGCAGGTGTAAATTTTGTTGTACTACGGTTTTGTTAGGTGTTCCCCCTAACATTTGGGCCACTTTGTATTCCCACCAACAGTGAGGAAGGCACCCCTTTTGCCATAGATTCCTCAGCAGAGTGTGTCACAATACTTGTTAACGTTTACCCCTTGACAGTTAAGAAAATAGCTCAATTTTGTTTTCACTTCAGTGTCCTTAATGAGGGCATTGGGACTTGTATTTCACATGTCTTAGGTTATTTTTATGCCTCTCCTCAATTGTCTTTCACAGATTTCCTCATCTTCCATCACATTCTTGGTCTTCTGCCCCCCCGTTTTTAAGAATCTTTTTTTAAATATAGTTGGGGTGTATTAGCCCTTTATCTCTGGCACACGCCGCAAACACTTCCTCCCAGTCTCGCTCTCCACTTTCTCAAGTTTTCCATGATACAGTTTTACAGAATCAAATCTATCAATATTTTATCTCATCGCATCTTGATGTCAGCCATGGCTAGCAAACCCTGACCTGCGTGAATGGAGGCTCCGCCCAGTGTCCTAGCACCGCGGTAGTCCCACCTTTTCATTTGCATCCCCAATCTATGGTGGGAGATCTGGACCTAATTTTGTCTTTCCCCGCATGGCCACCCCATTGTCCCAGCACCACTCATTAAAAAGTCTGTCTTTGACACAGTAATGGTAGGTGCAAACTTTATCTTCTATTTCCAAATGTGCTTGGATCTATTTATGGGCTTTTGATCCTGGTCCAACTGGTCTATTTGTCTACTCATGCCTCCGTCCCACACTGCCTTAACCATAGTTTTATAGGAGATTTTAAGGTCTCGTGGTGCCAATCTCCAGTTTATTTATGAGTATTTTGAGGCTGTTCTTGCACATTTGTGTTTTTTAAGTCAACTTGTCTTACTCAATTAAAAAAAAAAGTTGATATTTTTATTGGGCTTCAAATAAATTTGTAAATTACCTCAGGAAGAACTGACATCTTTTAGTGTTAAGTCATTCTATCCAGAATCACAGGAGGCCTTCCCACTTGTTCTCTGAGTCTTTTCAAAAGTGTTTAAATTTTCTTCACATAGTTTTACACATTTGTTGTAAAATATATTTCTAAGTATTTTTTCTGCTTGCTATATAAATGGAATTATGTTCTCTGGTTATTATTTGTGTATATGAAGCCTTTTTTTTTTTTTGAGATTCAAAGATTTATTAAGAGTCAAAGCCCTCCGGCCAGAGCAGCATTGAGGGGAGGCTTCCAAGAGAGGGAGACCCCCTATATGAAGCCTATTAATTGCTATATGTTGGTTATATCCTGTTCCCTTGGATGTTTGAGTTAATGTTATCACCGAGTCACGAAGGTTTTATTCTCACACACGTGAAAATAGAGCAAGTTTTACTATAGGTTGAGTATCCCTTATCCAAAATGCTTGGGACCAGAAGCATTTTGGATTTCAGGTTTTTTTTCATATTTTGGAAAAGATTTCATACGTTTGCATTTACATATGCATAATGAAATGTCCTAGGGAGTGGAACCTACATCTGAACATGGAATTCACTTCTGTTTCATATACACACAGCCGGAAGGTGATTCATACAACCTTTCTAGTAACTTTGTGTAGGAACCAAAGTTTCACAATGTAGATTTTTTCACTTGCAGCAGCATGTTGTCACTCCAAATGCTTTGGACTTGGGAGCTTTTCGGATTTTGGATCTTCAGATTAGGGATGCTCAACCTGTGCCTTACCCATTCTTATGCCTCTAACTGACTTCGCCTGATTAAGCGCATCAGCTGTTACCTCTAGAATAAGGCTGCACGGCAGTGGCAGAGGCAGTACACATTCCTACCCGGTTCCTGATCTTAGTGGAAATGCCTGCAGTGTCCACCTATCCAATAGGATGCTGGCTTTAGCTCTAAGGCATAAATATTTTACCATATTAAGAAGGTATCCCACAATTCCTATTTTCTTGAGTGTTTTTAATTAAGAAAACGTTTTTGGGCCAGAATTGTGGTGAAGCAGGTTAAGCCCCCGCCTGCAATGCTGACGTCCCATGTGAGTGCCAGTTTGTGTCCTGGCTGTTCCTCTCCCAATCCAGCTGCCTGCTAATGTGCTTGGGAAAGCAGTGGAAGATGGTCCAGGGGATTGAGCCCCTGCCACTCACATAGGAGACCTGGATGGAGTTCCAGGCTGCTGGCTTCAGCCTGGCCCAGCCCTGGCCGTTGTGATCATTTGGGGCAATCTCTTTCCCTCTATCTCTTTCTCTTTCTTTTTCTCTTTGTCTCTCTCCTCCCCTGTCTCTATGATTCTGCCTTTCAAATAAATAAATCTAAAAAAAAAAAAAACAAAAAGAACAAGAAAAAATATTTTAACCACCCTATTGCTTCAAAAACTAGAACAAGGAAACCTTCATCATGCCCCTTCTATGTAATTTACATCCAAGGGGCACCAAATACAAGTTTGGGCAAGTTTCTCTTTGTGGAATTACTCCAGCTAACAAAGAAAGGCGAGATGATCAAGTAAGAATATCGCTATTTGGCAAGCCCTAATGAAACAGTCAATCTGGCTAAGGCACATCAACAGCTGGGGACGCCAGGCATCGCGTTCGTCCTGATGGAAACACCTACCACCACCGGTGCAGCAGTTGCCCCAAGGAGACAGAGCCAGAAAGGGATGGTGAGGGCGCAGAGTGGCAGAGAGACAGCGAGGGACAGCGAGGGGCAGCCTGAGCCCAGCCTCTAGCTCTAATCACCAACTTACAAGAAACAGGAAAAGGCAGAGGAGAGTGTGAAACGATACTACAGGGGCGCACTCAGGAAAATACACCCAGAGGAACTCTGTTGAACAATCAGATTTCTTCAACAAATCATTTAAGGGGGGAAATAAAGAGCAACACGGAGCGGAAATCTAGATACTCTAGATACAAAAATTATATATGAGGCTAATTCCAAAAGTTCATGGTAGTGAAAGTAAAAGATATACTTATTTTGGGCCGGCGCCGCGGCTCACCAGGCTAATCCTCCGCCTTGCGGCGACGGCACACCGGGTTCTAGTCCAGGTCGGGGCACCGGATTCTGTCCCGGTTGCCCCTCTTCCAGGCCAGCTTTCTGCTGTGGCCCAGGAGTGCAGTGGAGGATGGCCCAAGTGCTTGGGCCCTGCACCCCATGGGAGACCAGGAGAAGCACCTGGCTCCTGGCTTCGGATCAGCGCAGTGCGCCGGCCACAGTGTGCTGGCCGCGGCGGCCATTGGAGGGTGAACCAACAGCAAAAGGAAGACCTTTCTCTCTGTCTCTCTCTCTCACTGTCCACTCTGCCTGTCAAAAAAATAAATAAATAAATAAATAAAAGATATACTTATTTTGGCACAAAAAATTTTGAAATCCATGTACATACGGATTTCTTCAAAAAAGCTCATGAAAACATATATTATGAAAAAAGCATGCATGTATTTAAAAATTTTTAAAACAAAATAAATGTTTTAATTAATTAATTTACTTGAGAGAGAGAGTTACAAAAAGAGAGTGTGATCCCATTCCCAGGTTCACTAATTCATTCCTCAAAGGCCAGTAATGGCCAGGACGAGGCTGGGGCTGAAGCTGGGAACTAGGAACTTCCTCAGGGCTCCCACATGGGTAGCAGGAACCCAAGTACTGGAGCCATCACTGCTGCCTCCCAGGGTCTGCGTTCGTAGGAAGCTGGACGTGGGAACAAAGCCAGGAATTGAACCCAGGCACTCTGATGTGGGACATGGGCATCTTGAGCTCTAGACAAATACCCACCTCATACTTTTCTTCTAATTCCATTCTCCGTGAAGTTTTTGAAGTGTCTTTGTTTATATTTAAAGAAGCTATGAGGGTATATCAACTAATTGCCATCAATGGGCCTTGTTTGGCTCTCAATTCTAATAGAGTCTGGAGTAAACATATTTATAATACAAGTGAGGAAATGAGAAGTTTGACCGGGTGCTTGAGTACATGTTACCCATGTTGTTATTTCTGGTTATTTTTCTTAAAAAGTTAATCCTTGTCTTGTTGCCATATGTGTGAAATACTTCCAGGTAGCAGGATATTACAGCTAGGAGTATAGATGGAGGAGGCATGGAAGAAGTTTGGACAAGTGTTGGTCATTGTTGAAGTTGGTAAGGGTTTTATCATATAGAGGTTTCTTTAAAAAGTTTGACATTTCTTAGATGTCACATTTAGAACACGGGAGATAACACACAGTGGAATGTGATGGGCACAGCCAAGCAGTGGTGACCAATGTTAGTCAGAGCTCTCAAGGGTGAATGACCATTGAGACAGCCCCTGGTGGCCACCACCTATGTCTCTCTCCTCAGGCACAAAGATCACCCCAGGTCCCTGTAGAGCAAGGGTCCCAAGGCCACGGAGACAATGAGCAAAACTGACTGCCCTTCGCCCCAGGAGCCCAGTGACAAGAGTCCCGCCCTCCTCTCCACCCATGAAGGACTCCTAGCTCCTCAGCTCTCTCCCTCCCACAGAGAAAGCCCCCCCACTCACGTCATTCTCTGAGGTCCCACAGAGAATGCAGGACTTGCACTCAATGCACTGCCACTTGTAGGTCTTGACGGCCTCAGTCATGTTCAGGGTGAACTGTAGGCAGGTAGGGTGACCTGGAAGAAGCCAGAAACAGCAGTGTCAAGGACCACAGGGTCTAAGCTGTCACCTCTCAGCACTATTAACTGAAAACACACTGATGCCTCACTCAAGGGGACGCAGAGGTAGCACAAGTTAGGAAACAAACTGGGGACCTGGACAGAGCTCCAGCCACATTCCTTACCACCCTCCCCCGTCACATCCACTCCAGGCCCTAGAAAGACGTGAGCATTAACCCTTTTGCTGGGGACAGATGCATCCAATTGCCCTGGTCCTAACAGTCACATCCTCCACAGGTGTAAGCAGTGGGGGAGAACAGGAAGTGGTGATCAGGGAGAACAAGACAGGAAATGGCCAAGCACACAGACAAGGCAGCCCCCTGAGAAGCAGCAGCATCTCCCCCCAAGCCCAGCATCAGCTGTGGAGGGAAACCCCTAAGAGCTAGCTGGAGTTGAACCTTCTGGTCCAAAAAGTTGTTGGCACTGACTCCGAATATAAAGGAGGGGAGGCAGAAGGAGGGAGGGAAGTTTCCAGGGCTAGGACCCGGGAGCAAGATGTGGCATTCATTGTGATCCAGAGTGTCTGTGCCCATGCACGGCAGGGCAGCTGCACACAAAGCCCCAACCAGTGCAGGGACACAGAAGGAAGTGGCCTGGCAGGGAGCATCACAGCCTATCACCCACCAGGGCTACTCTATAAGGACAAGTTACTCTCTTGTCTACATCTCAAGTGTGCCACAGTAGCCAAAGCAATACCAAGACATTGTTGTAAGAATGCTGTGACCTTAGCGCACAGGATCCCAATAGGCCAACACCTGAGGCTTGACCCGTGGAGCTGGACTCTGTTATCCATCATGGTTCACTGCAGCACTGAGAGGACAGCCATGAGCTCTAGAATGTGAAGGCCCTTGACCTTGTGCTTGGGGAGGAGGGAAACTTGGATGACGGTCTCAGGTTTCCCAGTGCTGTAAACCAGACAGGAATCTGCCCATGGCACCCAGGGCTGGGCCCATTACCGACTCTGCCACAAAAGGCTTGACGGCTTTGCCTCACACTGGGGGTTCACCATATTACCCCTTCCATGTAAGGCTCCTTGTGCCTTCAAGAAAGATACTACCACAGTCAGCTCCACTGACCTAGTGCCCTACACGACAGATCACCTGGCACCGCCACCCCTTAGCCAAGCCACACCCCAGGCCGCGTTCCCACTTCCTTCCTTTCAGATCTCCAGGGAGCTGGTCACATCCTCGTCATTTGTGCAGTCAATATAAGGACCCTCACATTTTTGGGCTCCACAAATAGAAGCCACACAGTGTTATCTCTGAGAGCGCAAGAGTGGCTGTGGAAATGGCTGGATGGAGGGTTGGGGCAGAGGCACTTAACAAGCACAGGTGGACGCATCAGGGAGGGCCGATCTAAAGCTCTTTAAAGACTTCTCAGGGGCCACGTGATCCAGAGACTCCCACACATCTAACTTCAGCTCTCTCAAAATGACACCATGGCAGTGGCCCCAAAGAGAAGGAAGCCTTGCATTTAAAAGTCTGGCTGAACATCCAGCACCTCATATCCATCTAAGAACACCTGCCAGGGTTGTTCCCTATTCCAGTCTCTCGGGGGAGAAAACACCTGAGTGGCGTGGGCTGCGGATGTCCAGGTTCTCTGATGGAGCACCCCTGGGGAGGACACAGCGGAGGCCATGGAGCAGATACTTATGTGGCCAAGTTGTCTTCATGGTCGCAGTTCCATGGTCGTAGGCCATACCCCAGCCACGACCAGCCAGCATGCAGTATCTGTTCATTAACAGGCGTAGTCGTGTGCCTCACTGACATTTTGCTCAATGATAGACAACATATACAGCAGTGGTCCCAGCAGATTATAATGGAGCTGGAGAATTCCTACTGCCTCGGGATGCTGTAGCCATCCTAAGGTCACAGTGCAACACCCTGCTCATGGGGTTGTGGTGGTGCTCTGTAAACACACCGTGCTGGCAGGTTTATAAAATTAGAGCACATACAGGGCACTTCTGAAAAGTTTATGGAAAAAGGGAATTAGACGATAAGTTTTCTGGTGCAAAAAATTCCAAAATCATGCATAGTTTCTCCAGAATATACATTTTTTTTGACAGGCAGAGTCAGACAGTGAGAGAGAGAGACAGAGAGAATGGTCTTCCTTCCGTTGGTTTACCCCCAAAATGGCCACTACAGTTGGCGCTCTGCGACCGGCGCACCACGCCGATCTGAAGCCAGGAGCCAGGTGCTTCCTCCTGGTCTCCCATGCGGGTGCAGGACCCAAGGACCTGGGCCATCCTCCACTGCCTTCCGGGGCCACAGTAGAGAGCTGGACTGGAAGAGGACCAACCGGGACAGAATCCGGCGCCCCAGCTGGGACTAGAACCCGGCGTGCCAGTGCCGCAGGTGGAGGATTAGCCTAGTGAGCCACAGCATCGGCCCAGAATATACATTTTTCATGAATTTTTTAATGACCCCCTCAGACACACAAACTTTTTTTGCTCCAAAGTAAGCTTATCTTTTAATTCCACTTTACATGATCTTTTTGTACAATTAAGTACAGTACCTAATACTTAACCATGATAATAAATTATTATAGTTCTGGGTTATGTAGTTATGATATTATATTTTTATCAATATTTTAGAGTACACTCTACACTCACGAAAAAATCATGCTCTTTTTTTTTTTTTCTTTTTACAGGCAGAGTGGACAGTGAGAGAGAGAGAGAGAGAGAAAGGTTTTCCTTTTGCCATTGGTTCACCCTCCAATGGCCGCCGCGGCCAGCGCGCTGCAGCCGGTGCACCACGCCTATCCGAAGGCAGTAGCCAGGAGCCAGGTGCTTCTCCTGGTCTCCCATGGGGTACAGGGCCCAAGGACTTGGGCCATCCTCCACTGCACTCCCTGGCCACAGCAGAGAGCTGGCCTGGAAGAGGGGCAACTGGGACAGAATCCAGTGCCCCAACCGGGACTAGAACCCGGTGTGCCGGCACTGCTAGGCAGAGGATTAGCCTATTGAGCTGCGGCGCGGGCCCATGCTCACTTTTAAACGGTGTTTACTGCATATGTTGATGCCATCATTTTCTTTTGTGCTTGATTTAATCTTGCCTGTAAATACACTCAATGAAGTTCCAACAAGGACAAAATCATCCAACAGTGGATTTCTCAGAAGGCACCCTGTCGTTAATTGACACTTGACTGTATTTGTCAAGCACCTGCTAGGCCAGCTATTGTGCTAGACAGAAGAGAGACAGTGACAAGCCAGACACCCCGAGCCCTCTCTGTCTAGCCAAAAAGACCTCAAATTAACAAATTACACACATATCTATTTCATCACAATGGTGTGATGAAGGAAAAGTGTAACTGACAACGAAAATAAACCACAGGAGAACCAATGCTAACCTGAGATGTCAAGGAAGCCCCGAGAAATATCTGGAAGTTGACAGCCCCAGCGGGAGAAGACAAGGTGGCTGGGTACCAGGGGAGCGATTTCCAGGAAACGGAACAGCCTGTGTGGAGGCCTCGAACAGGGGAGGAGCTTGGCAGATGGGCGGGGAGGGAGAGGTCAGTGGGCAAAAGGAGAGCCAGAAAACCCCGGCACTAGCAGCCCTGACTTAGGGCTCTGAGACTTAAAATTCACCAAAGAGCTTTAAGCAGGGTGGGGACTGGGTGACACTGTGTGTTTAAAGGTGAGCCAGTGATCAGCATTGCAGCACACAGGTTAGGCTGCAGCTTGTGACACCAGCATTCCATATCAGAGTGCTGGTTCAAGTCCCGGCTGCTCCCTGCTCATATGCCTGAGGAATAGCGGACAATGGTCAAGTGCTGGGAGAGACCTAGATGGGGTTTCTGGCTCCTGGGCTCAGCCTGGCCCAACTGCAGCCATTGCAGCCATTTGGGATATAAACCAGTGTATGGGAAAAATCAATCAATCAATCAACTAATCTCTCCCTCTTTCTTTCTCCCCTCTCCCCACTCCCACCCCCCAGTCTGTGCCTTTCAAATAAATAAATAACTCTTTAAAGGAACATCCTTTAACATAAAGAAACCTTTGGGTGATGGACTGATTCTATGTCTTCATTATGTTGGTGGCTACATAGGTGGTGAGACTGCACACAACTACACACGGACACACACAAACGTGCACACAGGTGTGTGTGCACATGAAAACCATAAACCCTGAGTCAAGACTGCGATTGCATCAGGGTCAGTCGCCTGGCTTTGATATTGAACCACAGGCATGTAAGGTGTCACTACTGGGAAACTGGATGAAGGCCACACACAACGTCTCTAACATATTCTGTCATTTCCCGTGAATCTATAGTTATTTTAAAGTAAATAGTTGAAAAGATCTTAAATAAGGAATAAAAATTTAAATCACTGGGAAGGAACAAAGGGACGAGCTGCTGTCTGGGGGAAGAATTTGTTTGGGAAGAGAGGGGTAGAGAGATGCAAGGACTGATACCAGGAAATGAGTTAGGGGTCTGAGGCCATGGCCAGGGAGGAAACCAGAGTGACTCAAGAAAGGCGGAAATTTGATAAATAACTGGCAAGACGTGGCCATTGTTTGGAAGTTGGGAATGTGTGAAAGAGATGAGAAATATTCCCCAGTGTCCGACCCAAGAACCCAAGTAGATTGCAGCAAACATTCTCAGATGAGGAAGACTTGAAAGAACGCAGGCACCAATTGGAGGTGCTCAGGCCTCCCGTCGTGAGCACAGTGAATTCAGGGAGGAGCATGAGCCTCCCCGTGGAAACGTCCAGAAGACAGGCAGAGAGACGGGTTTGGCGCTCAAGAGGGAAGTACAGGCTAAAGAGGGAAATTTAGGAGGCTGTGCTAAACAGGTGGTAATTGAAACTGTGAGAATCAGTGAAATTATTCGGGAAAGAAGAGAAAGGAAGAGGAGAGAAGAAATGAGATGGAGAGGACGGCCCAGGCCTGAGCTTTGAGAGACTCAACTACTTAAGACAGAGAGAACAAAGAGCAAGGCATCTGAGGAAGATGACCGAGC